ATGTATTTATGGGTTTGGGAGCCTCTTCCATGGAACCCAAAAGACATTATAACGACAGGCAGCACAAAAAAGTATTACTGCTATAAATGGTTTATTGTTAGAAAAGGCGATCGACTCTTCATCGTCTAAGTTTCTATTGCATTACAACTGATGCAATGACTATTGACTGACCAGGACTGAATATGTCTTCAATTATCCAGTTATGAATGATACTGGGTTCCCTGCATCTGAATCGGGAAGGAAAGTTTATCGTGGCTCATTTATCGCGATTACTGAGAAAGACATATTGAAGGCCATGGACACTCTTGTTGAACCCAGCAAAGATGAAGCTTTAGCTTTAGATGCACGCAAGAGATTGACTTGAAGGTTGGGGTAGCTTCTTACTCGGTTCAAAATCGTTATTTCAAGGAAAATATGGAACCTTGATTCTACTGTAATTTCGTATGTCTCACCTACCCATCTCTGTCCTATTGATCCTTTTCCTTAATATAGTGATCCATCTTGTTTCATGCATGTCTGATGGGTTGTGAATGCTCTTCTATAGTTGAGCCTGTCATTTTGTATGCAGTTGACTGTGCTACTTGTTCATTGTTCTTTTTCTTGTATTTTGAATCTTTTGATCACACTCCAACTTCAATAACTGTATATGCTCAATAAGATCAGGGCTCATTGGGCTTATTGTCTTTGAAAGGTTATTTTCCTCAGATCTGCAAAGCATTACTATTGTAATATTGTTCTCCAATTAGAATCTAAGTGGAACTGAAGCTTTAGACCGTTGTCTTTCTTACCTTTTCAGATAGATAACAATAAATATTAGATATTAGCAGATAATAATGTAAAGAATATGCAGTTAAGAAGAGATATTGGAATCACTGGTTGACCTGAAACTGAACTTCTGAGTGACCCAGGTTTAACTCAATCATCGTTTAGTCGGATTGGGATCGAAAGGGTTAATACTTGATCAGATGAACTCGATTGAGCATGAAATTAATAGGTTCTTATTATGATCCATTCTAGGATTTATATGGTCATGGTATATGTTCATAATTGACAATTTGAACCTATTCATTCCTTTAATTTATATTTTTTTGTTTAAATATTTGTTTTCTTTAATCTTCACTTGTTTTGATTTAGATTTTTTATGTAAAATAAACTAAATTAATTAAGTAGATAGTTCCTTATAAGCAATAAGAGGGTGTAAGATCTGGTCATTATTATTCGTATATTAGGAAGTATGTACAACACATATTGCTATTTTTTGCCTTGACCTAATTGGCACATTTAATTTTGGTGTTTTAATGTATAAAATCTAAACATGACGAATAAGTAAAAGATTTTCAAATTATTCTTATATTATCATTTTGATAATATCATTGATAATAATATATTTTTAGATTCGTCGTGTAGAGATTCTATTTTTATGATTCTTTTGCTTCCTAATTAATTAGCATGATAGATTTAGTCACTTAAATCATGATTAGCTTTCTTGATGATAAATTCAATTGATAGTGTATGGAAATATTATCCAACTATAATTAAAAGTCATGTAAATTAAATAAGTATGTCTTAAATATAGCAATTATAATTGTTTCAATTTCATGAATTAAGGTAATAGATAATATGTGCCAGAAAGCAGCAAGAGAGTTCTTGTTTGGTCTGTTTTACGTTTGATGGAAATCCATGAATTCGAAGAGCTATTAATGTAAACGGTCAAAGAGATAGGCCTAGAAGGGCCGGTCATGCGAAAGGTGCGTACGGAAGAGAAGGTGAGTGAGGCATTTCTAGTCGAACAGGAGTCGTCAGTGTCATAAATGCACCGCAGAGGGCGAGGTGTAAGACAGCCTGCGGAAAGAGGCAGCTCGGATGGGATGGCCGGAAATGATGCCGACTCGGGGGCCGGAGGAGGGGGGAGAAGGGAGGAGCGACCGGCGTGGTAACAGACTATGATTCAGGGGTGAAGGAGTTGTTGCCGGAAGGTAGAGATGAGGGGGAACAAGACCACTCCTAACTAGTACATTGTTGTGGGAGCGTCTATAATAGTAACTGCTTCTTTTATTTTTATGATAAATTTATTAAATTAATATCTTTATAATTTTAAAACTGACAACAGTTTTAGTATTACTGTGTACTTGGTTTAAATTATACGAAGTTGCCTGAGTTCGTGGCACCTGATTTCTATGACAGACCACTCTACACGTTCAATACTCATGTATAGTTGTCGGGGCAGCGATAGCCAGTGACATAATTCTTTCTTTATTGATTTTAACTATTGGCTATTTTCTTCAATCTTGCAATTGTTTTCAATTCTGGAGTCCGTGCAACCTATCTTTTTAGTCTTTTGAATATATGTTATATTTATCTGAACGCGTGTGAAGAGCGTAGTTGAGGAACTACAGGTGCGAAGGGGAGAGGAATCAAATAGGTGATAGTGGATTTGGGAGGGAAGGTGGCGGCAGTAGGTGGCTGCTGGCAGGGCCGGGCAGTCCCGGGCCTTTTGATTGCATTGGCGGTACGCTCTGGATATGTTTGCAACGTATGTCGTTGTCTGAAAGCGATCCATATTCGCTGTTAATTGGTTCTTGAACTGAAAAGATTTTATTATATTTAACTCTAATACATGGCAGGGTGCTGAATGAGGGGCAGATAATGTGAGATTTTAATACGATATAATACTGATCTTAAAATATAATTTCTAACGGAATTATGTGGCACAAAGCGGTATAAGAAAGGTAATAGGCGCTCTCCTCTCTGTGGTGCGTGCATGTGAACACGTGGAACGGTCGGAAGTTCTATAGGGTTTGGGTAGCATTAGGTGATGATATTCTTTTATTCATTATTGTTACTTACTTTATTTGTATAGTAACAATCTTTATTCAGTGATAATATGCTTACATGAATCAGAATAATTTTTTCTGTGTCTGTCTACAGATTCCTTTTGTCGTAATATTAAGTATGATAGCTGTTTCATTAAGCATATTTTTCACTCTATAAGATCATATTATTTAGTTTATGTAGACTCACATATTAATTTTAGTAATATTGTTTTCTTTATGCTCTTTGAATTATATATTTGTAAATTTTTTCATTCCTCGTGAGAGTCGAATGTCTCCATCAAGCAGAGAATAACATTTAATTACACTCACAAATTTTACTTGCATCTTCTTTCTGTCTCTTGTTTACCAGAGTATCTAGAGTTACTATTACTTTACTTCTTTATATTCTAAAACACCCATTATATCATTGTAATAACCTAAAATTATTAATAACTGCGTAATTCCTGTTGAGTATTGCCACCTGGAACTGCCATTACTTCGCCAGGTTAATTAATATGGAGATGATTTTCATCAATTTACCGCATAGTTAAGAAGCATAAATTATAAATATTCACCAGGAATAAACAGACAAAAATTTTGGTTCTTCCATCATTTGGCGTTTATTAAAGGCCTTCATTATTAAGCCACAGCTATGTAACAGTAAGGCTATTTATTGATAAGGGAGATTATATTAAAGGTTATTTATTCAAAAGGGAGATTATGAAAAGTTATATATTTATCATATAAAGGAGAATTATTTAATTGATGAATGATAGTATATTAGTACTCAACGTGCTAGGAAGAGAGAGACTGGAATACGTGGAATCCTGGATAAAGTGGAAAAATCAAGAACTGTTTTTTAAAATCAATGGTCCTTAGGAAGAGAGCAGTTCGTAGTCTTTTATACGTCAAGTAATTTTATAATGGTAGTGAAGACGAGTCTCTACTCTCTTCTTTTCATCTGTAACTGATGAACTGATAATTAGGATTCTGTCATGAACAAAATAATTAATACGGCCAAACTGAGAGGAATCTCCCATCAAAGCAAATGTGATCTGAAAGAGAAAAAAAGATGTAATTGGTATTACATACATTCAATAAGTTTTAAACACGCATGAATCAGTGTCATTGAAGTTTGTCATATTAGCCTGCAGAGAACAATGCAGCTATGATATCTGCTGTCCGAAAAATCACCTCTAAGATAAATATATCAACTAGAATTCTATGAACAAAATAAGGTAAAATTATTTCAGAATCCCAATTTCTTCCCTTGAAGTTTATTGCTATGGAAACTACAGTACCAGAACATACTCCATAAAATAATTACAATTCTAATCTTTTCACCTTTCTGATTTAGCTAGTACAGTACACATTAACAATTAAATATAAAATATATTATTTAGATTTGGAAGAACGGAGTACCTTCATAACAGATATTTTCACCTTCTCTATCACAGTCTAACCACAGTACAAGAGAGGCACAACCTCGCGCTTCTTGAGACAAATGACGACGAATATGAGCCTTGAAATGATGTTAAGAAATGGAGTAAATTTTCTCGGAGAAAAAAATTTATATGAGACAGTGGATTAGGTGAATAAGATAACAGAAAACAATTATGCAAAAGAAGGTATAGACAAAGGTAACAAGTATTGCTACATGTGCAGGTCATCGGACAGTTTGGCACATATAATATTGATAAAAAGAATAAAGGCCTCCTCTACAGTTGTTAATAAAGGAATTTGATAATACACAATTAGAATGGGTGTTTGTGTGGCTGTTTTCTGAGAGAAAAAACCACAATTAAATTCAATATTAGGACATTCACCCCATATCAGTTAAACTTCATCATTATTTGTGCAGTTTTAAATATCAGCACAGCTTCTACATGGTTATTAAAATTCATACCCGTTTATTTTGCATAATAATTTTTAATCTCGCTAAATAAATGAGTAAATCAGATATACACTCACAAACGTTTAAAACACTAACCAGTATTTTTTTTCCCACACTAGGGTCAGATAAGATCAAAGACTGTATAGAAGATTTCCATATTTTATAATTAGTTGTTCACTATAATGTGGTGCCAGCTCCTGATTAAGGAAATAACCCACAAGATGGGGGCTTGTAGCAAACCCCAAAGACCAGCTGATGATAGGTAAAGTTGCCCACTGGTCATGCAGTTCGCTTATGAAAAGAAGACAACATGCAAAATGTAACAAGAATAGCTTATGAAAAAGAATAAACGATCTAACTTATAATAAGAATTTGCACTTGATTTTAAGGCAGAAACATCAAACTAGATTGCCAGATATCATGTTAAAAAACTTGAATTGGAAGTGTAAATTATACCTTTGGGTTTGATTCGGATTTGAATACTGGTGCGCGGAAAAGATCCATAGGATCAATTACTTCCCAGTTCTGGTAGCGGCGCGAAAGTCTAAACTGAAATGAGCAGAATGGAACAGGTTAAGAAATTTGCATGAACAATCTCATGTGAAGGACAAACTTAAACTAAAATTAGGTGGTAATTACCAAATCCCAAATAAATCATTAATTTACACAAGATGCAGTTATTCAGCAGCATACAATGATAACCTGGTTGATAAATTGTACATTTTTCACTTACCATAGTTGAATAACTAAGAACAAGTTCCCTTTGACGTTTAATCTCAGTTAATTCAAAGAATCTCATGCTTAAGTGTTCCAATACTATGCCATAACAAACTATTGTTTTTTTTTAATGAAGGGAGATCTAAGTTCATTCAAGCACATCAAGACCTCCACTCTCACAAGAATATAGAGATTGCATGTTTTCAAAACAAGGATTTGCTTTCACATGCGGTCATGCCCTAGCTAGACCTTCGCTATGTATACGTTACACTTCAGATTGATTCAAGGATTTTGAATACAATTAAGTACCTACAGCAAATATCTGGCCATCCGTAAAGATTCTTTAGAAACTGTTGCATGTAGTTTCAAGTGCAGGCTAGAAGTTCAACTTTATGACTTGCCATATTGCGCGGACTGGAAGTCACCGCAGGACTATGCTTGGCAATGCATAAGATGTGGAAAGATGCAACAATCAACAATCTGCTTCTCATAACTAAGAATACCACTCAATCATATGACCATGTTGCCACCTAATTCGTAAATAAGAATGCAGAGACATTAGTCACATTACATTTAATCATTAACAAGTTCAAGTAAATGAACCTGTATAGTGCTAAACAAAAGTCCCTTCAAATCCTTTACTTCCATGTAAAAAATAAATAAAGAAAATAACTATGTTGCATTACTCCCTGAACATTGTCCATCTAAAAGAGGTAAATGCCCAAAGACCAAAATTGTGATATCTTATGATGCATTTTATCATTCCAACTGATTCTCAGTTTCTTATACCTCAGTTGAATTGTAAAGATGGGAAAAGGTTACCAGAAAGAAAAGGGCATGACCAACCATAAGCAAAAGAGAAGGTACAAAAGAAAAAATATTGACATTTTCTCATAAAATTTGTAAAAAGATATTCAGAAATAGAATAATGACCTGAATACATGACCGATAACAGATGTAACTTTATAGCGTACATTGATTCCCTGAAACATTCCGTCAAACTCGTGGACATCAGTATTAGCTCTTCGTGTTGACATCTGTAATTCATAGCTTGTGAATAAGTAATATTATCACAAATATTCAACAAAAACAGAAGAAAGAGTAGTTAATCCTCGACTTAATCCTGAAAATACAACTATAAAATGGTTCTATCACACAAATATATTGGGATCACCAAAATGTTCAGAATCTGACTGGTTTAAAATACACAAATAACTTACTATAAAAGAAGAATATTGCCAAGGAAAAATAAAGTAGATAGAACATTTACAAAAGGAAGAGGTCATTTTTAAGGTCCACAAGCCGGGTTAAAAAGGTTCTATCAGCACACCAACGTCATACAAGTAAATTTTAACCAAAGGAAAGGTAATCCGACATATTGTGGATCTGCTATAAAAAAAGGTTCGCATGTTGAAGCATTACTAACTACATTAGTACGTAGAGGCTCTACTTGCAATCACGTAGCTGGCCTCCTAAAACATACGGTGGTTTTCTAAATCATTCAATTTAGTGAAAGTTCGCACAATCAGGATAGCAGTACACGATTATTTTGATTCTGTACCCCTCCCCCTCCGACCACTACCACCACACTCACCCATTCCCCCCTCCACCCACAAATGACAAAAACATAAAAATAGAAAGACAAAGAGAAAGATTTACAAAAATTGCAATATTGAAGCAGATTGCCTGGGCAGGACTTCTTCTCACATCTAGCTGCTAAACCTTATAAAATGAAGTGATGCACTAATAATAACAAAATGAATACATCTACTAATTTTCTTTATCAGTACCTGCCTATTTCTCTGTTTATCATTCTTCTTCTGTAATTGCTTTCCGATGGACAAGTGCCCCAAATGAGTCTTATTAAACACGGGGTGCCTTTACATAGGCGTCAAAGACCATGGGCAAAGGGAATGCACAAACGGTAACTGAGGTGATTACAAATATAATTTTTTTTTTGCATGACCCAATTGTTTTGGTTTAGTTTCAGTTTAAGCTCATTATGGATCACAAAAATGTTGTGAAGAATGGCAATAGCGGTAAAAAAAAGCAGCCCCTAGCGGTTGCATACAAAGTTTTCTACCAGATTCCTAGAATCCTATAATGTAAGGATTTGGTTTATAATATACGACAACAAAGAAGATGGTAATACTGCCATAATCGCTGATTATTGATTGTTTGATTATTGATTGATGCAACATAGCGTATAGACCAGTTATTGTTATCCAAAACATATGCAGATCTCAATATTCACTGTTTTAATTGATGGCAAAAGTATAAAGACAGAGACAGAAAATTGATCTGCCTAGTAATAGCAACCATCTCAAAATGAACAAACGATTTCAGTTGCTAAAAAAAGTTACCACTTTCGGGTAAATTTGTAATATTAAGTCGGCGCCTCTAATAGTGAGATTAACCAACAAAATAGCTCATTATACATCAAAAAACCTAGTAAAGAAAAGAACAAATTTTTTAAACAGACCCATTTCAATTTTTAATTTTCAAAACCGACTCTTATTTACCAAAACCGACCGATTTTATGATTTAGCAGATTAATCACCTTCCTAAATAGTCAGGGTTGGCAACCCCGACTATTTAGGACGGTGTTAAACCCTAATTAGAAGCCGTTAAACCCTAAAAATTAATGTCCTAAATAGTCGGGGTTGCCAACCCCGACTATTTAGGAACGGTGATTAGTCTGCTAATCACAAAATCGGGTCGGTTTGGTAAATAAAAAAAAAAAGAGTCGCGTTTTGAAAATAAAAAGTTGGAATGGGTCTGTTTAAAAAATTTGTTCTAAAGAAAAAATTAAGAAAAATAAGACCGACCCGGCCTCGAGAGAGCGCAGATGCAATGGAGAGGGCGATGCTAGGTTTTTCCGCCACCTGCAAAAATAAAAAAAAAATCAGGGAATAAAAATTGAAAACTCTGGGCTTGGGCGCCATGAGAGAGAGAGAGATCACCATGAGGACTTTGGACGCCATCGGGGGAGAGAGGAGAGAGGAGAGAGGAGAGGAAATTTACTGAAGCTTTTCTCTCCCCTTTTCTGAGGGTGAACCGGAGGTGGAACCGTTTTCATCGGGTCAATTTCACGAGACCGCCCTGAGAGTGGGAGTCTTTTCACAAAGCACCTTAAACTTTGTTTATCTCGCATTGGCCCCCTGAACTTTAAGTTGCAGCGAGAACCCCCGTGAACTTTGAAATTTTCTCATAGGACCCCTGCACATGATTTGCAAATAAATAGAATTTTTATTTGAGAGAAAATTTAAAACCTAGAGGAGATTTATGTTGCTTACAAATGACAAAATGATATATTATGAACTTTTCCGCTCAAAAACATCTTAATTACTTGTAATGTACGGGTAGGGGTCCGCGTGAAAAATGTTAAGTCCATCCGGGTTTTGGTAGACACCCAAAATTTATGAGGTTATGTGAAAAAACCTTCAAAGCATAGATAGTAATTGCTAGGCGTAGAATTGAACCAATAACAAACTGTTCGACTATTATATCGTCCAGCTATTTAATGAAATTCCGATAATCTCATTAATAGTAATCAAAATAATTTTAGTATTTTTTTCATTAACAGATAGAAACTAACCAAATACATATAAATAAATTTACAATATAGATAATTTGGAGGACAAAATTTACAAAATACAGATAATTTGGTGCGGTGATATAAGGGTGATCAAGGAAATTAAAAATTGTGTATTGCATCTATATCTATTATACTATATAAAAGAACTTTAGTTGGGCGTATCAAAAAAAAAAAAAAAAAAGTTTTGAAGTTTGAAGGGCATTTTACATTCTAATAGAAATGTGATGGGTATATAGGTAATTCTACCTTCTTTTTCTCTTTTATTTTTCTAGAACAATATTCTAAACTATAACATGAATATAGAATTAGAGCTTACTAGTTAAAAATCTATATATGACAATATGTTTTGTAAGACATATAAATATAAAATATAAGGTTCTTATCTAATTTAAATTACTGCACATGAATGAATATAAATACTTCTATACTATTATATTAACAACTTCCTAGGGGGGCCAAAAAGTTTGAAGGACGTTGCATATCCCAATAGAAATGTGAGGGATATATAGATAATTTTTCCTTTTTTTTCCTTTTCTTTTCTCTAGAACATTCTCAACTATAACATGAATATACAATTAGAGCTTACTAATTAAATGTCCATCACAATCTGTATTGTAAAGAGATATAAATATAAAATATAAGGTTCTTATGTAAAAACAGTAAAATATATTACTAGATGTGAATGAATATAAATTCAGCAAATGGAATTTCGATATGTTTCAATCTCAAATTATCGAAAGTCAAAATATATCAATACACTTGGGTTAACAATAATTCTAGATGCAATAATGTGTGATAAAATATGAAACATACTCTTCTTATTCGAATTGTTTAAAGCGCTCTTTAGGATGATATTTTGAAAACAATACACGAAATACGATGCAATCCTATTTTATTTATTAAAACCATATTACTAGTCAAACGAAATATTGTTTATCTTCCTAATTTTTTTTTAAATATGGTGACATGAACTAACTCGTAAATTATATTCACAAAACTCGATATAACTTATTGTAAGTGACCATTCTATATAAATTGAACGGTTAAGCTTCTTGTAAGCGGTTTTAGGATTAGCCTAATGTAGCCGATAATCTGGACAGAGGGAGGGTTTGTAATAATAGTGTGAGATTTTTTTTTTATCTGTATAGGGTTTTAAAGCTCGGGGTGTTTATTGTGAGAGTTTGGAGAATTTTCGGGCTTCTATGTGTGTAATGAAGCCTTAAGAGTTAGATTACAGGTTAAGGAAGGAAGCCGGTATCATACGGAACGAGGCGCAACCCGCTTTCGACCCGAGTCGTACCCGCCGCCACCGACATTCGCAAGAGTATATCAATCAGCGGCCAAACCCCCGCATTCTTTTATTAAATTCTTCTCAAATCGCTGATCTCAAATCGCTCTCTCTCTCTCTCAACTTCTTCATATCAATTCGTAAATTCTTCTTTTTATTAAATTCTTCTCAAATTGCTGCACTTGCTCTAAACCCTAGGTCACTCTCTCTCTATCAAATTCGACGCCCAAAAAACCCTAACCCTGATCCGGAAAACAATGGGTTTTTTTGATCGTCGACGCCGTAGACTATCACGCCGGGACAGAGAAGTCCCAATTCTTGATTTCCCCATCACGCCGGCGAACTCCACCGCGCCTTCGAGATGGGGGAGCTATCGTCAGACTCTTGACGATTTCTTTCTCAACGGCGCCGACGAGCAGAGAAAAAGGTGTCGCAGAGAGCGAGAATCAAGTACCATCACAGCGTGCCGGGTTCTCGACGCGCCTGGTCTCGAGGACGGCGATCACCTAAACCTCCTCGACGTCCTCGACGACGTCGTGCACTCTCTGAACCCTGGCACCTCCGCTCATGAGATCGTCTTCGACTACATGGGCAGTTCAATTTCGAGCCTCAGCTGGGCCCCCGACGGCCGCCACCTCGCCGTCGGAACGTACGATTCGCTGATTTACATATGGGACGTCGAACGGAAGTGCCCGACCAGGACACTGAGAAACGCGCACCGGAGGTCGTCCCGGGTCGGGTCTCTGGCCTGGAAAGGCGATGACATGCTGACCTCGGGGGGCTCAGACGGCAGAGTTGTCAGCAGCGATCCCAGGATCCCGTCCGCAGCCCACGTCGTTCAAAGCTACCGAGGACACGGGCCCGGCGACATTTGCGGGCTCAAATGGTCTCCCGATCATGCAAGCTCCAAGCAGCTGGCGAGCGGAGGCAGCGACGGCCTGGTTCATGTATGGGATGCCCGCAACCAGGATCAGCGGGCCTTTCGTTTCAAGGTTGCCGACAGGGATGCCTCCGTCAGGGCCCTTGACTGGTGCCCTTTCAAGGGCTGCTTGCTGGCCACGGGGGGAGGTGTCGGAGGGGACGGCAACAGCAACGGATCCATCAGGTTCTGGAGCACGCAAACCAGTGCCTGTGTGGGGTCGGTGGAGACGGGCGGCACCCGGGTCTCTGCCCTGCTGTGGAGCAAGAACAGTCAGCAACTGCTGAGCTCCTGCAGCGGTGGTAACATGACCCTTTGGGACTACCCATCGCATGCTAGGACTGGGGACCTCGTGGGTCACACCGCACGGGTTCCCTACGTGGCTTTGAGCCCAGATGGCACCACGGTTGCATCGGCTTCGGGGCCCGACGACCACTCAACGCTGAGACTGTGGAACATTTTCCCCCCAGTTCCCAAGCCCACATCTAGACCGCCCTTCAGCGGTTCGTATCATGCGCACATCAGGTAATCACACACGCGCACATCAGGTAATCACACACGCGAGCACGCGCACACACGCACCACGCGCGCACGCATACACACACTTTGCTTGTTTATTTATTATCATGCCAGTAGTTCGTATAGTACTTCGTGGACACGCATGCCATATCTTAAAGTTATTTTGTTGATTTTTCCTAACCGATTTTTTGATTTTAAGAAGATTTTCCATATAAACATGCACCTTCATCTCTTGTACATGCTATGCTTTTATCTACTTGATGAATTGTGCTCAGTCGAAACCAAGAAAACACCTCATACAGATCTCACTGAAAGATTTTGGTCTCAAGCTGATTACTTCGAAGCATGAGAAGAAAGTTGTTGTATGGAGGTGCAAGAGTTTTGCGATGCGGCTGGTGCACATATTCTAAGCAAGAGGTTTTAGAGCTTGGAGCTTTTCTCACTTCTCCCTCGCCGATATCAGCTGCTTCATTTTCATGGAAAGCTTCATACTGCAGTCAACTGAGCGTCCTTGGAATGAAAGGTTGTGAGCATGTTTCCAGTATTTGCTGACGCCCTTGTTTTCGTCGCCTTGATTTTTTCGTCCTCTGTGTTTACTGATTACTTGGGTATGATTGTAAATTCATAATGCAACAACTCAGTGTAATTGAAAGTTTTTATTAAAGGATTTAATAAAAATACACTTCCAAGTTCCATGGTTTAGTTTTGTGGGCTTTAAATCAGTTTATGTGCATATCAAATGTCTTTCTTGAATAACTCAGTGTAATTGAAAGTTTTTATTAAAGGATTTAATAAAAATACACTTCCAAGTTCCATGGTTTAGTTTTGTGGGCTTTAAATCAGTTTATGTGCATATCAAATGTCTTTCTTGAATAGGATTTTTTCTGTAATGTGCTTGAAATTTTTCAGAAAGACCACTTAAATTATTATTCAGTTTAAGATGATCCATGAGAAGGTTAATTTCACATAACCGCCTCAACGTTGGGGAGTTTTTCATATAACTTTACTAAATTTTATTTATCTCACATAATCCCTAGAACTTTAGAGTATTTCATATAATCCCTTAAGAATCATCAATATCTTTGAAAAGTAAACAATCTTCATATCCATTTTAGCCGAAAAGCGAAAAAGAAACACGCCTTCAAAGTTTATTTTTTCTTTTTTGAAATGCAAGTATTCATTCTTGAGATCAAAGAAAAAGTATTGCTTTATTATCCAACTTTATAATAGCAACTTAGGGGGCAGTCACCTAGAACTTAAAATTGGAATTGAGATAATCCGTGGGATAATTTTTTAAGGTGATAGTCACATAGAATTAGGAAGCGAGATATTTTTTGTAGTGTTAGTCAAGTAGAACTTTTCTAGAACTAAAGCTGTGATATTTTTTTGGTGTGTTAGTCATACTTCACAGCACTAATCTTAGTATTTTGAAGTTCAACCTGAACTGTACTTGTCATCGTCTTGTTGCTTTCACCAACTTCTTCTCTCATGCTTACAAACTCCAAATTATTGTAGGCAATAAAAATTACCTTTGAATCAAGAAAGCTCGTCTGACGACATTCAAAGCTCGCCTGCATGGCTGAGCTCGCCTGCCAATGGCTTGGGCCCGCCTGCATTCAGGAAGCCTAGCGAAGCTCGCCCACAAGCACGAGGGAGCTCGCCAACATCGCTTAGCTCGCCCGCACGAGCCAACCTTGCCTGACTGCTTGACTTCCCAACACAAGTCTAGCTCGTCTGTTTGCTTGACTCGCCAGCACGAGTCAAGCTCGCCCAATTATTGAGCTCGCCTGCACGAGTTCAACCTCGCCTGATTACTCGACTCGCCAGCACGAGTCAAGCTCGCTTGATTTCTCTATTCGTCCGCGCGAATCGAGCCCGCCTGTGCTTTGCTCGCCCGCAGGAGTCAAGCTCCCCTGCAGGGAGTTCTCCCGCACGAACTCAGCTTGTCAAATTTTATGGGGTTATGTGAAAAACCCTTCAAAGTTCAGATAGTTATTGCTAGGGGTGGAATTGAACTAAATAATTAATAAAGTGTTCAACGAGTATTCGTTTAGCTATTCAATGAAATTTAATAATCTCATTTAATAGTAATCAAAATAACTTTAGTATTTGTTTCATTAACAAATAGAATCTAACCAAGTACATATAAATAATTTTACAATATAGATAATTTGCAGGATAAATTTACAAATATAAATAATTTGGTGGGTGATATAACGTAATCAAGAAAATTAAAAGTTTTGTATCTCATCTATATTACTATATAAAAAACTTAGTGGGGGTGCCAAAAAGTTGGAAGGACATTTCACATTCTAATAGAAATGTGATGGGTATATAGGTAATTCTACCTTCTTTTTCCCCTCCCTTTCTCTTTTCTTTTTCTAAAACAATATTCTAAACTATAACATGAATATAAAATTAGAGCTTACTAGTTAAAAATCTATCACAATATGTTTTGTAAGACATATAAATATAAAATACAAGGTTCTTATCTAAAATAAATTACTAGATATGAATGAATATAAATACTTCTATACTATTATATTAACAACTTAGTAGGGGTACCAAAAAGTTTGAAGGACGTTATAGATCCTAATAAAAATGTAAGGGATATATAGATAATTTTTCCTTTTTTTCTCTTTTTTGCCCTTTTCCTTCCTTTTCTCTTTTCTTTTATCTAGAACATTCTCAACTGTAACATGAATATACAATTAGAGCTTACTAATTAAATGTCTATCACAATATGTGTGTGTGTATCTATATATATATATATATATATATATATATATATATAATATAAGATTCTTATCTAAAACAAATTACTAGATATGAATGAATATAAATACAATAATTGGAATTTCGATATGTTTCAATCTAACATTATCGAAAGTCAAAATATATCAATATACTTGGGTTAAAAATAATTAAATACAATAATTTGATGATAAAATATGAAAAATACTCTTTTTATTCACATTATTTAAAGTGATGTTAGGTTGATGTTTTGAAAATGATCCACCAAATTAAGATGTACCTTATTTTCTTTCATTGAAACCATATTACCGATCAAAATGAAATATATATTCTTTCTAATTTTAAATAAGGTAACATGAACTAACTCATAAATTATATTACAAAACTCAATGAAACTTTATTGTAAGTGACCCTCATATATAAAGTTTGAAATAGTTAAGTTTTCGCATCTACTGCACGTGCATTTGCATGTGCAATAATGCTAGTTTAACAATAGGCAGAATAATTTTTAGTATTTATTCATAAATGACTATAATTTAACCAAATGTTCTATTGTTAATATTTTTATAATTATTAAATGATAGGTTAGACATTTCTTAGACTTTTATTTTTTTGAATTCATATATATATTTTAAATTGAGGCATAAACTTGATGTAAAAATACAATGTAGAGGGATATTAACAATTGTCATTATTTAGATGATAAATTTACAAATATATATAACTACTTGGGATGTACGTGTATTGCATGTGGTCAAATATCTTTTTTATATAAAAAAAATAAAATACTTTTGATCTAGTTAAAAATACTTTTTTTCATAATCCAGCAAAAAATTGAATCCAAGATTATGAGAGCCATATTGGAACCTCCCATTGTCCGGCTATCTTGATTATTTCCTTTGTGTTTGTGTTTATTATAACTCATTGCAATATAATTTATCTCTGATGAACTCGACATGTTTATGAATGTGAATACTACCATAACCATGAGCTAATACATATTAAGAACGACATCCTCCTAGAAATTTTCATCATTACTTGATATATCTATGCATTACACTAAAAACACGACGAAAGTTTATAAAACTAAAAAAACCTTCAAGTTTTTTGACAATTGTAGAAAATACCCTAAAAATTCAAAAAAATTATCAATGCAAGTTGAAATTTTCAAAAACTTTCAAATATTATGTTGAAAATAAAAGAATTACAAAAAATGCCTCTGAAAATTTTTAAAATTTTAGGGTATTTGTTTACCATTTTTAAACTATGACAATATTTTTTACAAATTTTAAATTTATAGATTTTCAATATACCTTTTGTGTCCTTGATTTTTTTAAAATTTTAAAAATTTGAGTATTTTTTATAATTTTTGAAACTTTTAGGATGTTTTCTTCACATTTAAAATTTTAAAGGGGTTATTCGTAATTTCTATATTTTTAATGGATTGTCTGTAGATTTAAAATTTTCAATGTAGCTTGTTTGTAAATTTTGAGTTTGGAGTGTTCTTTTATAATTTTTAAAACCTTTAGAGAGTTTTCTACATATTACAAATTGTTTAACAAGTTTACTTCTCTAAAAATGCAGTTGACTGAAATCATCTCTACATAGGTCCAAACAATATATAGATTGTCTAAAACTTTTTGCGCACATAAACTATTGCCTAGAATAATTGGTGTGCATACTTCTATATCCATGGCCTCTTAAGAGCCACTTCCTCTTAAAAATCTTCATCATTGCTCAACATATCTATACATTACATTGAAAACACCCAAAAAGTTTATAAAGCAATAAAAACTTTAAAAGTATCAAAAAAATGAGGAAAATGCTTTGGAAATTAAAAAATTACAAATATACACAAAGAAATCCAAAACTTTTAAACATTATATTGAAAATCTAACAATAGCTAAAAGCCCATGATTTTTTAATTCATAGAGTATTCTTTGCAATTTTTTAGACTTTTAGTGCTTTTTTTTGAAATTTTTAAATTTATAGATTTTTGATGCACTACTTGTATCTTTTTTTTTTAGGGTGTTTTTTTGTAAAATTTAAAATTTAGGGTGTTATAATTTTTGTAACTTTCAAAATATTTTCTACAAATTCTAAAATTTTCATAGGGTTGTTTGTAATTCCTATATTTTTGTGTACTTTTAGTACATTTAAAATACTTAGGGTGTTTCTTTGTAAATTCTAAGTTTTGAGGGTTTTTTTGCAAGTTTGAATCTTTGAAGTTGTTTTCTACATATTATAAATTATTTG